ACAAAGTCTATTGTTAGACACACACCACAACAACTAGTGGGAGAGCACACAGGGAAGTGGTTTGTTCAGTTAAGAAGCCAGGCAGAGATGCACCCCCAGAGAGAAGGGTGTGGCTGTCCCCCTTGGTGAGAAGGAGCCTAGTGCCAAGTCTGGGCCACAGGAAAGTGTTTCATGTCAGAATTTTTTAAAAAGTTTAATGCCACTGGTACCCAAGCTAATCTCATTCCCTGGCCAGGAATCAAACCCAGGCCCCCTGTGCTGACAGCACAGAGTCTTAACTGCTGGACTACCAGGCAAGTCCCATTTATTTTTGTGCAGTAATATTAATTTATGCCAGAAAAAGCATACAGATTTTTAAGAAGTCCTTTCAAAAGTCTTCCTTTCCAAGCTCTCCTTTGTCCCAGCCCTTCCCCCATTCCAGACTTTCATTAATGGACAAGAAGTCATTCTCTGTACCAGTTGTGATGTGCAGCATGTGGTTTAGAAATTCACATGTGTGAATGAAAAAGCCTTTTAAAATGTACAATGTAAGTAATCAGCAGGAAAAAAAAAAAAAACCCAAGATTTCTTTTATCCTACCTTAATACCTGGGCCTAGGGAAAAAGTAAATAAAAGACCCTAGGCTCAGGAAGATTAATAAAAATATGAAAGAGAATTACCAAAGGGCTGGAGACAGACTATTACAAACTATTAAAAACAAACCCAAAGATCAGAGGGAAATTTATGCAGTTTCAAAGCCTCCAGATTTACAAACACAACCTAACCATAAATGTGAGCAGTAAGAGGGTTAATTATCTCCCATTTTCCTTTTTTAAAGTAATTAGACAATAAAAAATGCTTCCAAAGTGGGAGAAACATAGAATATAACGGTGTATTATTAAACAAAGCTATTTGTATGCATTCTAGTCTTCAAAATGTCAAGGCAGTAACGTTTATCTGTGCCATGGAAAACACTCCCTCCGAGACCAGAAAGTGCTTGAATAAAACTGCCACTACTCAGTTTTCAACTCTGGCACATCCCCTAAAGTACTCTTCGCCCTCTTCTACTTTTTCATAAGAGACCTTATGGGCAGGAACATTCCACTGCATTCCATCTACAATCAGCTTTAATCCCCGTGAGCAGCAGTCCAGGCCAGCTTGCCAGCATAGCAGTCTTTTAATGCAGCTAACACATGTGGCTATAGCAAATTCATTTCATTTTTTGCAACAATTTGAGGTTCCAAATCCATGCTCTCTCCCAATCTTAAGCCCAATTTTTAAAAAAACAAGCCATTAATACTTTCTAAATATAACAAATTGGCTCACGTAAAATCTCTCACTCAGAAGTTATTTGGATTATGTATTAGTCAAATTACTAAGAAAATGCCATAGAAAACTGCAGTGAAAAAAAGTAGAAAACAGTAGAAGGATGAAAAATGCCAAAAATTCTACAGGAAAATGTCTCTGATACAATTAGTGAATCAGCTTTTGAAGAACAAACATCTTTCAGAGGAATCAAAATTACCCCAAACTTACTGAACCATGACAAAGCATTCAGCTAGAAAACTAACACTACTTTTTCTAAGGCTAATGAGGGATTTTTGTTTGAGGAGACTAATATTGTTTTAAAAGTAACAAATTTCTCCTGGAGAATGTTTAAATGCAAAGAGGCAATGTGTTACAGGAACTTCCCAGGTGGCACAGTGGTGAAGAGACGCAGGAGACGCAGGAGACACAGGTTAGATTCCTGGGTGGGGAAGATACTCTGGAGTAGGAATGGCAACCCACTCCAATATTTCTTGCCAGGAAAATTCCATTGACAGAGGAGCCTGGCAGGGCTCCATGGGGTCGCAAAGAGTTTCACATGACTGACTGGGCACGTATGCATGCTTAATGTGTTAAAGAGAAAGAGAAAGAAAGAGTAAGGCCGAGCAGAGCCACTCAGACTGCTGTCTAGAAAGGATGTGGACAAAACATGATGGAAAAGCCATTGGTGGTTCAGCATGGTGTTTAAGCTGGTCCACAGGCTGGTGTTCAAGCTGGTCCACAGGCTGGTGTTCATAGGACTAGTAGAATATGCCCAGGTCTACTTTTTTTTCTTCCGGGTCTATTCTAACCATATTAATTACTTTTAATAAAAACCAGGCAGTTATTTTTTAATATTTCATCAAAAGACAAACATTTTCAATAATTCTGGAGATATCTTTGTGGAAATCAAACAAGAATGAGTAAACAAAACTCCAAAATTTATGGCCCTATCCTTAAAAAATGTTCAATTAGGAATCTTATTTTCTTCTTCAGTTTGCAATCTACCAGTGAACACACTTGAAATCTTTCATCCAGAGTGAACATCAGTATTTGGATAATTTTACCTTTTTCCCCCAAACTAACATTATTGTCTATACAATCAAAATAATAAATTAAAAAAGGCAGCCAATGAAGACTAATACCTTTCTTACTAGCCATCAGTAAACTCAGTGAGGTTTTTAACCTAGATGATCAAAAAAAAAAAAAAAAGAAAATCAAGTGGACCCAAATCCATTTCACATAACTATCCAGAACTACAGAAAATTTTAATTTTGCTACATACTCCTGAACTGTCAATAGATTAGCTTTTTTATATCTATTTAGTACTTAGCATATCATTACACATATAGTAGATACTTGTTAGTAAATAAAATCCTATTAACTTATATGGATAGCCTTTCATGCTAAAATCTCAAAAAAAACACACAAAAAACCAATTTTGACAAGATACAAACATGAAGTTTTATTTGTGTGTTTACAATGCAATCAAGACTGAAAAGAAAGTTATTATTACACCTGCTACTACTTAAACCATCTCTCAAAGGAAATCTCCCCGTGAAGTTACTTCTGGGAAGAGGAACTAGTTGCCTGTGTGATGGGATAACAGGAATGATTGTACTGTATACTCTTCATACTTTTTGAAATTCATACCCTGTGAATGTCCTACCTATTCACAAAAATACATCAAAATTGGGGGGAAATTAGGTAATACTATTTGACCTTGACAAAACTAGAAACATATAATCCATTTAAGATGTGGGCATTCTAAAATGATTACTCATCAAGGAAAAACATTAGTGTTATCATTTGTGCTAATAAGCATTTTCCTTTATTTTTATTATATGACTTTTGCATTCATGGATATGGTCTTTTAATACTCACTTTCTACCTGAAAGTTTTAATAAGATTTCCAACTCTACAAAGAAAGTACCAACATCCCAACCATGAATGAAACTCCATCTCCATGACACTGGGGAGTTCTCCTGGATAGTCAGTATGCAAAACTGATCAGAGAAAAGTAGACCTTTTTGGAATCAATTCTGGCTCCTGATCCAGGATTTCCTAATGTCCACCCTTTAAAAGAACTTGTGATATATACCAGGACATTTAGAGGCAACACCAACAGTCAAAAATGCCTCCATACTAAGTTATAAATAAATGCATTTTTCAGAAAGAAACAAGAGGCGCAATAATCAGAAATTAATGTGCTCATTCCAGCAGCACCTATACTAAAACTGGAATGATATGGAGAAGGTTAGCAAGGCCCTGTGCCAGGATTTAGTTATGTACTGTGTAAAACTTAATTCTTAAAATGAAACAGAAATAAGAACATAGCTTCAACAAGTGACATTTAAGAATATAACATTAGTAAGAGAATAATAGCGAATTCTGCATCTTTCTTTTACAATTATTCATAGGATACATAATTCACAGAATCACTGGCACAACTGACAAGAAAATGTAAAACACAAACAATGGTACAGCAGTTTAGACTCCAACATTTGACCCTTTTCCAAAAAACAGAATGTTGCAAGTCTTATTTAGCAAGTTCAGAAAAATGTGTTAGCAAAAGAAAGTTCAAAGTTGTATACGGGGAATAGGTATGTGTATGTGTGTACGTGTGCGTGTGCGTGTGTGTGTGTGTGTGTGTGTGTGTGTGTGTATAAGGCAAACTCACAGCAATAGAGAATGATGGCTGGGAGCTGGGGGAGAAAAGGAGAATCGAAGGGTACAAAGTTTTCTGGAGACCTAAAGTGCATCATGGTGACTATGGTTAATGATGTTTATGTAAAATTTGCTGAGAGAGTAGATCTCAAGTGTTCTTACCTCAAAAGGTAACTATGGAAAAAAAAAGGTAATTATGAGAAGTGATGGATATGCTAATTAGATAGTGTTGATCATTTTAAAATGTATAAACATATCAAAGCACCACATTTTACACCTCAAATATAACATAGATTTATTTCCCACTGGGAGAATCCTCTACACAGAACACTGGCCCACAAACAGATAAGCATATTTTCTCAAATATTTAGCATTAACTTGGGTCTGAAAGAACAACAATTCTACTTTATCCCAAAGTTACAGGTTTTAAAATGGTAGAACTTACCATTATTTAAGTAATAGTTTGCCTACAGACCCATATCAAGGAACTAATGCAAGTACCAAAAACTCCAGCTTCTGTCATTTTTCACCTAAGGAATTGTACAGAGAAACAAACCAGGAAGCAAGGACTGATCATTTTTAGTAATAATTTACAAGTTTATTATCCAATTTAGCTATATCTGTTGTTCAACTCAAACAACCATCATAAGGAAGCAGTGTAAGTGTTAAGACCATCTTGGCAAGTTCAAGTACTATTGAAAATCAAGGAAGTAAAGCAATCTTGCACCCTCAATAAGGTATATTTCACAGCATCATTTACTAAAAATCACTGCTTACACCTTCACTATCATTAAGATTTCAACTTACTAACACTAGCTAAATTAATTCAGTTCTCTAGGGAATTCTCAATTGTAAAGAAGAAGATAAACAGCCAATATTCAAATATGCTACAGCAAAAATCACAGGGGGAAACATCCAGTGGAACATTCAGAACAGCAAAGTTCAAAGTGTTACTAGCCACATGTTCACTTATTTTGATGACAGCAAGAAGGAAAGGGGGGAAAGACAGGAAGATGAGACAGGACTGACAGAAAACAACATGCACTCACTGGTTGAGTTGCCCTGCATCTGAATGATGCACTTGGACTCTTTGCTGGTCTCTCGAGAATTGAAGGGCCGAACGCGGACAGCCACCTTCACTGAGGCTCCCGACATTCTGATGGTCTTGTTATATATACGAAGTCCAGAAATAAAGAATCAATCTTCTCAGGAAGTTATGTTCAAGTTTCCTTTAAAAAAGAAAAAAAGTTCATATAAGATAGGCAGAATTCAAGTAAACAAGGCTAACTTGAGCATAAGAGTTATTAAATCTTAGTACTATTTGTTTCCATTTCTAAAAATCTCATCCCTTTTCTTTCCTATAAATCTTGTATGTGTGCATGAATAAATCAGTCACCAGTCTTGTCTGACTCTTTGTGATCTCATGGACTGTAGCCTACCAGGCTCCTCTGTCCATGGAATTTTTCAGGTAAGAATACTGGAATGGATTGCCATTTCCTCCTCCAGAGGATCTTCCCAACCCAGGGATTGAATTTGCATTCTCTTACACAGGCAGGCAGATTCTTTAGCACTGTGCCATCTGGGAAGCCCCACAAATCTTATATTCTCAACAATAAATTATCAGATAGAAAATTAAAGACTGTAATTTGTTTTCCTGTTCCATTATCTCTTTACCATACCTAAAAAGTCCCTAGACTTAATGATAAAAAATATTAACTGCAAAATAACAAACATCTTATTTACTCTGTTTTTCTGGACCAATTTTCAATAATATATGCAAAAAAATGTTTATCTGCTAAAGAGGGTTCCTACACAAGTAACTTCCCATCTGCAAAACGTTTTTACAGAAATGCATTGAACTTTTTATATTTTAATTTCAGTTTGAAACATCTAGTTCAGTTCAGTTCAGTTCAGTCGATCAGTTGTGTCTGACTCTTTGCGACCCCGTGAATCGCAGCACGCCAGGCCTCCCTATCTATCACCAACTCCCAGAGTTTACTCAAACTCATGTCCACTGAGTTGGAGATGCTATCCAGCCATCTCATCCTCTGTTGTCCCCTTTTCCTCCTGCCCCCAGTCCCTCCCAGCATCAGGGTCTTTTCCAATGAGTCAACTCTTCACATGAGGTGGCCAAAGTATTGGAGTTTCAGCTTCAGCATCAGTCCTTCCAATGAACACCCAGGACTGATCTCCTTTAGGACGGACTGGTTGGATCTCCTTGCAGTCCAAGGGACTCTCAAGAGTCTTCTCAAACACCACAGTTCAAAAGCATCAATTTTTCGGCGCTCATCTAGTTACATGGTGTATATTTTAACAGCAAAGGACAGAGATAAGCTCCAGCTAGCTTCTTTACCTGTAGGTATCCAGGAATTCCTTTAACTCTGACAACCCCTTTCATAGTTATCTCATTCGGCCCTCACACGATCCTGTACAATAATTAGAGACAGTTCCAAGAGACCCAAGTTCTATCCTCTGACCCAAGGCAGAATCAATTCACTACATTTCACTATTGAATGAAGCCACAGGGAAAACTGAACATTTTCTAGAGGAATAGTTTTTGTCCCCAAAGAACAAAACGAGTACTATTCTGTGAAAAGAACCCACATAAGTAATTTCCACAAGAAACAACAGATCTCAATCTGTACTCTGTTATATAAACATCTTCAAGAAGAACTGAACAAAAGAAAAAACTAAAAAAGAAAAATACTTAGGGGTCCAATTACCAGAGACCAAATTTTTGGTCCTGAACAGTTTTTTCCACATAATTAAGTAATGGTTAAGAATACTCACCTCCAGCTGTACAACTAATGCTTTCCATAGGAAAAGGCATAAATATTCTATCCTATTTCTTGTTTTTTTTGGAACACGTCTGTTGTCTGTCTCTCACACCACCACCAGAATGCTCAGGGATTTTGTCTGCTGGCACTTAAAATAGTATCTGATGAAAGAGCTCACTACATGTTTGTTGAAGGAATGAACTAATGAATAATATTTCCCTATTGTAAGAATTATCCTTTATATGGTTTTTTTGTGTGTTTTAAATGATTACAATATTTATTGATATTAATATTTTTGTGTTTGCTGCAATGTTTTTTCCAGTCTGTTTCACATTTTATTTTACAATAAACAGATGGCTCTTTTTTAGTACATCATTTGATTACAATTATTAAATGAAAACTTAAAATTATTAACTCTTCCAATCTACATAACATGACCTATAGTCAGTAGCTGAGTACTCTGTTAAGAGAGTGAATGAAGCATTCACAAAAAGCAAGACACAGAACACACTTTAACTCCTCAGAGTCCATTTTTATGTATAGCCAGCATCTCAACACTCAATGTGTCCCATTATCTTCTCCCTAAAACTAGCAATCTCTGCCAATCTTCCCATTTCTATCTGGCCCCATACCATAAACCTAGGAGTCATCTTTGCTTCCTTCTCTTTGAATCCTTTCATTAGTGGTAACATTATTCATGAAATACCACATGAAAATCACTTTTAAAACATAAATTTCCATTTTTCTATCCCTTCCCTCCTCTCATTTCCTCTGCTCTATCCTTCATCCATGTCCTTACTACCTCATGCCTAGCATACATGCAATAGAGAAACTAATCTCTGAGCTTTTAGTTTTAATCCATGTCTTGAAATGGGGGTAAGGGATTTGCACAAAACAATCACAGGATCTTTAGAAAAGTAAATGAGCCTAGACTTCAGATTTTGAGATAGGGCCCAGGTATGGCTAGTTTTGTTTTGTTTTCATTTTCTAAAAATTATATTGTAAACCTCCAGCTGAGAACCCAACTTTACGCAATTGCTTAACCCTACTGCAGTATTAACCTTTCTAAAGCATGACTTTCAATTTCACTTCCAAATCCAAGAAAATTTCCTTACTCCCCAGTGCTTACAAGACCAGTCAAGGTACTCTGTGGCTGGTCAAGTGCCTTTACTATCCCACACACATTCTTTCATGTGTTCTAACAATTTCTCCCCCATGAACCTTCATTTTCCCCTCTAGCTGATGGCCCAGCTCTAGTCTTACCTCTTTCAAATGAGGACCCAAACAAACATTCCAGGAATCACTGGTATTTCCTACAGCACTTATAACCCCAAATGCACTGTGAGAACACTGCTATCATTTTACATGACTATATTCCAGCTTGTATGCTCTTTAATAGCTTCCCAAAGTGAACATCCTATTCCTTCAAAATCTCTTTGAAACTTAGGTTTCTTGAAAAACTGGCAAATACTAAGTCTGGGCAAGAAATTTCAGGATGATTCTGGAACATTTAGTGTGACCATAAGCAAGAAATCAAAGACGAATAGGGTCACGGTGAAAAGACACAGCTGCCAACTGAAAGGGGCCCCCACTGGACAAAGATGGGATAACTGGAGCATAAAAATACATGAATACATACAGGCACACTGCATATGGACTGCAAAAAATTAAATATACAAATTCATAAGTTCATAACAATACTTCCAAAAATCTCATTATTCTGAAAACTGCAAATAAATCAAAGGAATGGAGCATGCATCCAGTCCCTGTACCCTGTATAAACTGTGTTCCAGCACAGTCAAATAGTCAATGAGTGCAAGTTCCTTTTTATGGAAAAAGTCCAGCTAACAAATGCAGAAGAAATGACAGAAACAGAATGTTTCCCACCGCTACTAACAAAAAGGTTCTCTGCATCATCACTATCTACTAAAAAAGCCTTAAATGAAAGGCTGATTGCTGTGGGAAGATTATATTGTATGAATTAGGGTAACATAACCTGAACCAAAGGTTCATCAACCTTAACAACACTGCAAGTGGGATACTGACGTGGCCGACGCCTCCTGATACACTCCAACAGGAGACACACGGTACCTCCTAGCACATATTCTTACCCCATCCCCTTAAAAAAAACACTGACAGAATCAAGCCTCATTTACAGGGCACATGCGGAGCAAAGAAATAATTTAAACAATACCCAGAAGATACAATCACAGCCTAACCCAGAGTAGAGAAAACTCTACAGCTCAAGACACCCAGTAACTTTAATTAAATAGCATGATAGGCAGGGGGCAGTAATAAAGACACAAATGTTGACAATTGATGAATATTGTGGATATTTAAATTAAAGAAAAAAAAACACTTTCTTCTTTTATGTTCTACCCAGGGCCTACCGAAGTGCTGAATGCTGCTAACTGATTTATAAACAATAAAGGCAAAGTACCAGGAACCAAAATACTAACATCTTTAATATAGAATGTCCCCATACATACACTTTTCATCAGTTGTTTGACCCTTCTACCCAGCCATCCTCCCAGCATTTCATCCAACTTAACACACCCAAACTTGAAACACCTCCCCCAGCTCTTTTCTATTTCTTTTAGTGTTCTCACCATTCTCCTGTTCCCACATGCCAAAGAGCTTGCTTCCCCTACCCATCTAATCAATGCCAAATAACATGGCTTTCTCCTATAAAATCTCTCTCATCTCTACCACCATCATACCACCCCTTTTACACCTTCAATACAACTCACCCAAGACTGTTAACTGTCCTGAGCACTTTTTCTCTTTCTTCCTCCTATCCCCACCACACCACACCATACTGCCATTTTCATCTACTCCATCCACACTATGCAAAGATGTCAGTGTCATGCTCCTGAAGCACAAGTTTCTTCACTTAAAAATCCTCAAAGTTTCTCCACTGCCTACCAAAGAACGACTGAACTCCCCACACTGGCATTCAATGTGTTCTGTAACATAAACCACCTATTTTTACAAGCCCACAAAACACTGCCTTCCATCCACATTCCTTAACAACCACCCACGAGAGGGTTTTCTGAGAGCATCTCATGTTTTTCTGTGCCTGTGCCTTTGCTCCAAAGCTCCTTTTACCCACTGTACTCTTCCACCTTCCTTGTTCTTCTCAAAACCCGATTTTTCTTCCAGGACCTTCTCATACACTACCTATTTTTAAAGCCTTCATGGATTCTCCAGTTCTTGCAAACCAAAGGCAAATGTTTCTCCACTTAATACTTCTCAACTCATTAACCTTATCTAGAGCAGAATAAGCTGCTCTGCAGCAATAAAGAAAAACAGCTTAAAGTTCCTTGAGGACAAGACAGAATTTTAGTCATGTTTCTAATCCCATATATCACATGATCTTGAGGAGTCAAAATATTCTGGTTGAGTGGGTGTGCCACAGGCTATGGGGTCGCAAAGAGTTAGACACGACTTAG